GTCGTCTACATCCATGTCTTGCAATTTAGGCAAAAAAACTGGATTATCATTAACTGTTATTGTCAGGACACAGTGACACGTTGTGGATGCATTTGTTTCTCAACAATCACTAGTGGATTGTCTGATAATAACCCTGAACTGTCAGCTGTCAGACTGTTTTTTTTGTTGGCAATTGTTTTTCCAAGTACACTTTTCACAAGAAAATTTTCTGAAACTTTGACGTATACCTACCATTTATTTCTAAATATGAAAGAAACAGAGATAAAGGAGGTGGAATATTATGTGAATGTTAAAAACAGTTGATATTTATTTGAAAACGTGGTAATAAAAGCAGAAATTGCAGCAGCCGCACGTATATGGCTCTCCCATTGTGTGAAAAATGTAAACATATTATTCATGAAAATTTTTCCTGGAAAAAAATCAGCGCCAGCGATATAAATTACGTATACAAGTACAAATCCTTTACTTTTATGTGAATCATAATTTGCAACTGGTGCAGTTATTACAAACGACTGATTTTCCAGCGACGAACTGTCTGAAGTAATAGCTTCCTATTCCTGATGTCATTAGCTTACGGAAATCTTTACCACGAAACCATTAAAACATTTTTAGTAATGTAATGCAACTTTTTTACGTCGTCAGCGGCGTCAGGTTATTGACAGGAAAGACCGATAGAAAATTTAGTGAAGGTACTTCCTTTAAATAAAATTGAAAATAGATAATAAATAATATTACGTCATATATGCTTATACTAACATAAAATTAGTTAAGTTAAAAATAATCTAAACCAGTTGGACAAACTTTCAAAACTGATTCCTCTCGTCAAAATAAACTAGACCAGCATTTTTTCTAAATTGACAGTTTTTTTATAAGTTATTCAAGAACCATTCCCCTTCTAAAGGGGCCACAGCCACTCAAAGGTGAACTCATCAAAATTCTTTTTTCAATGTCAGAACAAGAAATATAACCTAGAACTGACTATACAGTTATGTTTTGGACAAGATTTCCAATAAAAAATATATTTTCAAAATTTTAGTTAAGACCGTCCCAAATAGGAAAATGAAGGAGGGGGACGTTGTGACTAAAATTTAGTCTAATATTTAATTTAACTTTTTTATACATGAACTTTTTCACTGTTTAATTGAAAACATTGATAATTTATCTAATTTTACAGCAGCTCTCGCCGTTTATATTAGGAGTAAAATTGATTAAAAAATTATGTTAGATGTTAGACAAAAATAAATCTACCCTAAATTAAAAACCATTTGAGTTTATGGTAAGTCATGAAAAACGTGAGTATTTAGAAATTTTGTATACAAACTTCCAAATTATTTACTGAAAAAGAACTAGGCCTTTATGGTGACGCTAAGAGTAAAAATCACAAGGACTAAGATCAGAAAAACACGGTGGCCAAGCAATTGGTGAATTTTAGTCAAGTCCTATCCATTTTCTAGGAACATTTTAATACAATCAAATTTGAAAAAAATACATTGAGATGTTTAAGAGAAATTTGTATTTTTGCTTTTTTTTATTTCAACTTTAAGAGAGTATATTTTGGTATCTATGTAGGTAACTTAGGTTCGAACTATTTTGACTTCTAGTTTCCGCCATATATGTTTGGCTACATATTTTAGAATCACCCTGTACTTAATTGCTGTATCAAAATAACAAAACACTCTACGGAAAGCATTTTTAAATTATTTTTGTGCATTATTTTGATACCACGTATTTTCATTTATTTAAGGCAGACCCAATGTTAGACAAAAATTTGAAATATACTCAACTACAGTACAACACAAGGAATACCAGCGAAAAGTTGAGTCATTTTGGAATGAATATTATATTATGGATGTATGTGGATTCATCAGTAACTTTTGAAATTAAAAAGGTTGATTTCACATTTTCACTGGAATAATAATTGCGTTTATTCATTTTCTAAATTATTGTATAACATATCAAGAAAGTAGCCGAATTTATTAAATCTTTTAAAAGCTTTATCCTTAATTCCAATTACCTGGAAAAATACTCTTTCATTTTGAAGAGTACACTACTGTTGTAAAAAAATGTTTAAAAATTAAGCAGTCGTCCTAAAAAGGCTATTACACCAATGGCGTAGAATTTAGAAAGAGGAAAAATACTCCTCTGTTTCTGCTGTATGACTCTGGAAATAATAAAAAAACTGTATTTTACCATGGTTTAACGTTTTTTTAAGTACCTACCTAAACCTTCCGTCAAATGATATAAAAATATTGAGCAAAACTAATACAAGCCAAAAAATGCGACTGACCTTGTAAACCAGAAGCCACTTACTTGCCATGCGCACCAACATGAGAATTGTTCCAGCACACAAGTTTTGGACATATCTTATCCTAAACACGGTTTTTCGATATATTTGAGGTTATATTACATAACTAGGTAATTTTTATCCATAAAACTCGTATCACAAATACATTTTGAAAATCGCTGTTCACAAGGAAGGTAACAAAAATACTACGTGCTGCTGGTTGAGGAACTAATCTAGACTTCGGGAGGCGCGGCTCTTAATAGAGACATCATTGGCCCATTCAGTTTACATTTCAATCATTTGCAAAATTTTGTTCCGGCTATTACATGCTTTCATTTTATACAGCTGCCTAAATTGTATGTACACATTTAAGATCTACCCAGTATTGTTTTCACCCAAGCGAGCTGCTCTTGATGTATGGCAGGAATTTCTGAACATCCTGTATATTCGATTTGAGATGCATTAAAGCACAAATATAGGAGAACGAGGTCAAGAGTCCCGCGAATAGTTCAATTTAAATCGTTTTCTGATGCATTTCCTTAGAAAAATTATAATTTAACGTTATCGAATAATGCCATGGTAATCCATTAAATAGTTAAATCTAAAGGTTTAAATCATGGTTAAGAATGTAATCAAAAACATTTTATGTCTATAGTCGTCATCTCCATTATTGTAATTTTACCCCTTATATTTATTTGAAATAATTCCAGCAAACTCACATATCCAGTTTAAAATAGATAGGTAGGTACCTACGTACTTCTACAAATTTCTAAATTACAACAGTCGAGGTATTTGTATCTAATTGCAAGTATTTCTACATCTTTTCAAGACCTTCTGAAATGTATAATAAGGAAATAAGGGATTCTAATAAGTGGCTGCTGAAAGTTGATTTTTTCAGAGCACTTTATAAACATTTATTACGTCATCGAATAGGCTACCGAAAGAACTTAATTTAATATAAGGTTCAGTGACGGCTGGTTAAAATCAAAACAGTCATGCCGTTTGTTTAGGAAACAATTTCTAAGCCCATATAGAGCACTTTCATGACAAAAAAAAATCTGAAGAAATACGCAATAAAATTTTAATTAGGGGTTGCCCACCCTGATATCTTGAAAAGGATTGCGCATATATATATA